CAATCTTCTAATTTTTTTTTGTTCCCAAAGCATCCACTAAACTTTAATTTCAATTAATATCAACAAAAGTATTCACCCTTCCTCCATCAAGGCTGTATAATGTATTCTGCAGTCATTTCCCCATCCTATTCTGCTCCCGGGGTACAAAAGTATGAAGCATCTTTTGCATATGTCTAAGGTTTCAGATATGATTACAATCTTCTGATTGATAATGTGATTCAGAAAGCTCAGGTTTTGAGAACAGTTGTCAATTAGAGTCAGTGACTCTATAAAGTATAAACAGAGTATAAGTCTTTCTTTTTTACTTTATGAATACCTAAAAGCAAATATACCAAAATTGATTAAATGAAGATATTTTTCTATCCTAAAATATTCTCATCTGTCCAAACCACATAATCTTTGAAGCAGAGTGTATCACTATCAGAAGTTCTCTTTCAACTATTGGCTACATAGTAGTAGTAGTAGTTATTTGTATGAAAATGGTTCACTAAAACAGAAAATGGGGAACCAATTTCAAGTTAGTCATTTTGGAATATGTATCTTTAGAGAATAATAGAACTGGAGGGCAGTTCAGCTTATCTAAAGTCTAACACACTGTGTCTTTGTTTATAAGAAAAGAGATGTCCATATATTTTTTTTTCAAAGAAAGCTTACAATTTTTTTCCACAAGAAGTTCACATGATTAATTATGGTTACTTATGAATATTTTTATATATAATTTATATATGTAGTTCATAGTTAAGGTGACTGTATGTTAGAGTTAAAGTAAGTTTATACTTGTTTATATTATGGTCGGGTTGTTTGGGTTAAATTTGGATTAGTATATGTTTAATCCTGTACTCAGCTCTGGGAAGTCGGGGGGGGAGGGGGGAAGGGGATTAGGGGATTAAAATTACAAAAATTGATGTATTTATATGTTATAGGTGAATAATAACTGTATTGAAAAGAGGAGATGCTCGGTTGGCACCCCAAACTGCACTCGAAGAGGCGGTTAAGAAGGAAGAGGGGATGTAGTTAGGTGGAAAGGAGGAAGGTGGAGAGGTTGTGGGATCAGAGGGAAGAAGGACAGGAAAGTGAATGAGGGTGGAGGCAAGGCGGGGACTGCTGAGCGTCTCCGAAAATGTACTGATTTGGATTATTTTTTATTGCTTGTATAGGTAAATGCATCATATTGGTATTTGTTGGTTAATTACAAAAATTAATAAAATTTTATTTAAAAAAAAAGAAGAAGTTCACATTACACACTTGAATTACATTTTCTTTGTTATGGGCTAGAGTTCAAAATACTGTTTCCCTTAATGCTATAACTGGCCAGTTCTGGATATAGAATTGTTACAAAATAGAGCAGGCATGTTTCTGATGCCAACCAAGGATGATATTTGTAGCTCTGGGTTGAAATGAAGAGTCCTGATGATGTTACCTAGTTTGGGTAATGAAACATTTGCAAGAAAAGAACCAAGCTCAGAGAGCACCAAGGACCCTACATTTTTATGAGACATTACATAATGGATTTTCTCACCTGTGTCATACCATTGCAAATAATCATAGATGGGGAAGCTTTCTACCATGGGAGGGCCAAGAATTCACCACAGAGATACTGATCTCATTATAACTGTGATTGTGTGCTGCATTCAACTTTTAAAAAAGTTTAAATTGAGTATAGTTTTTATAAAGTTGCAGAGTACATGGATGTAAGTAATCTGTACCCCTCCAGTTGTTCCTTGTCCCTGCTGGACTGGCTGGGACAAATTCAATATTGGGAAGTCCACAAGTATTCCATTCATGGCATGTACAGTAGAAACAAATTAATGACATATGAAAGACTAGGTTGGTTAGGACAAATATGATTCACTATGTTAAAGTAATTTGTGTCACAGAAACAATGTGTTCCATTCTATCAAGGCCAAGAATGACATTTGTCTTTTGATGTGGATTTTGTGACAAAACGTGACAATTTTAAAGATGATAATGGCACCCACAAGTTGGAATAGATACCAAAATCTAATACCCAAAGGAAACACATTTTACTTTTCTATAGATATTTGTTAGTGGGGAGATAATTCTTATATATTAGGGCAAGTTAGACAGCAATATCTACAGTATGTTAAGGTTTGGCAGCCTTTTAAAAGAACAGCTGGTCCCATATATGAGGACCAGCTGTTCTTTTAAAGGACTGCCAATTCTTAACATACTGTAGATATTGCTGTCTATTTGCCCTAATTATGTTTCCTTGTTTTCTCTCACTGAAAGCATATCATGAAAGATTTCTACAATTAATAAGTACCAATGTGATTCCTTTGACTACAGAATATTAATAGCACACCTTTCTACTGTAAATTTTATGACTGTAAATATATTCTGTTAGTTAGATCTCCAATGAAAGGCCTGGATGATCCAGATGATGAATGATGACTAGCTGGTTGCTTTTGGCAAACCAAATGGCCAATATTAACTACAATGTTGACAAATTTTCCCCTTTAGTTATGAGAATGCAGAAGCAAATATTGTCCAATATGGTCGAAACACTTTACGCTGTGACAGTTTTTAATCTTCCTGTGTATCACTTTATTATTCATGAATTATGATAGATGTATGTGTCTTACTGCATAAATGGGCACCACCATTGAGAAAGCTCTGGTATGAGTTCTGTGTGGATAAAACTCTTTCAGAGATTCAGGTCCTCAGCTGGACCTCTCCCACTTCTTTCCAGGTGAGCAGATTTATTCTGGTGATCTCATAGTGAAAGAAGTGTGCAGATACACACATCTTTGTCAGAAGAAAGTGCTCCTTAAAAGATTTGTCCAGCCTTGTTAAAGATGAATAACATTTCTTTGTCATCAACCATTATTTCACATACTGAGGTATACAGATTATATTCCCTTTTCCTATATTGAGAATACTTGTAGATTGGTATTTGAACTGATTGTGAGAAGCAAAGTACATGGCTTCCAATTCTAAGCAATATGCTTTAATAGGCCTGTGCAAAATAGATCCAATCCATTTAAAATTGTTGATTCAATTTTAGAAAATCAAGTGAATTCAAAAAGCCATTATCACATAGTCCAACTGAAATGATTGGATTAAGATGGTTAATTCATTAGGAAAAAAGGTGGGGGCCTATGCAAATACCCATTAATTTATCCAGTTAATCAATAAAGATCTTATTTGATTTGATGAATTAGAAAGTCAATTTATCTTAAAATCAATTGCACTGCCACCATTTTTAGATTTAGTTCTCATCAGGTTGCAGGTAAAAGAAAGATAGGAATCTGGATACAAAAAAAAGGCACAAGAAAAAATGTCTACCCTTACACATTTCAGTAGATTTTCTTAGGTATGATACATCTCAGCTGATATATAACAAACCCTTATCCATTTTATCTACTGATGTGATGGAACATTTCTGTAAGAACTAGAACTTCTGATCCACCTACTTGTTATTTACTGCTACCTTTTAATCTTCTGAATAAGAAGAAGTGGCATTTCAATCTAGACAGAAGTGTTGATTGGGCCACGAGCAGGAAATAAATCAATGGTCCTGGTCACAGTGGAAAGGAAATACACTTACTTATGGAAAAGGACTAAGGAAAGCACTTTTATCCCCAGATATCCCACAATAGCATGAGCAAAACTTAACACAACTGAAAGAGTAAAAGAATTTCCTGGTGATATTTCTGCTAGAAAAGTATTGTTCCTGTGGATGATTAATAGGCGATCATAATTCATATTCCAAATCCTCTTTTGTATATGAAGACTGCTAAGTCATCATTTGTACTTAATGTAAGGATTTTTAAATATTCCACAGAACTGAGACACTAGACCAGTGGTGGCGAACCTATGGCACGGGTGCCAGAGGCGGCACTCAGAGCCGTCTCTGTGGGCACGCGCGCCGTCGCCCCAGTCCTAGGCCTTCAGCTGGGTTTTATAAAACCTTTTCACTTGAGGCCTCCGCTGCCATGTGCAAAAAAAAAAAAAAGTTCAATCAATCAGTCAATTTCAACTTCTCGCGGGAAAAAAAAATCTCACAAAGTTGGAATTGATTGATTGAACTTTTTAGTCCCACCCATTCTGCCATTACCACCGCAGCCACGCCCACCCAATGGGCCACACACACCCCAATGGGCCACACCCAGCCAATGGGCCACACCCACCCGGCACCCGACGATGCATAAGTGGGTTTTGGGTTGCAGTTTGGGCACTCGGTCTCTAAAAGGTTCGCCATCACTGCACTAGACAATGGTGGCATTAGTTGCTTTATTGTTGTATTGATCCATTAGTCTATATGCCTATCTGTAGTTATGCTGGCCCAATAAATGTGAAAGGGAAGGAGCAGATCTTATTGGAGTTTAGGAGGTACAACTGTGTAGTCTTGATTCTGTAAAAGCATTTGAAGAGACACAGATAATAGTACTATTGGAAGCTGATACATTGTCTGGACAAATGCATGGCAATATCCTTTGGGAGAATAAGATGATTTCAGAATTTGGAACAAGATATTGCTGATGTTTGCTGACATCCTTCTGGAGTCATTGCCATCTGATTTAGATGAATGGAGTGCTATACTGATGTCTGGATTAGTAAATAACCAGATGAATGTCAACAAAATGCAATCCAGATTAGATGAAAGTTCATTCTGCTTTTACTTTGTGGATCCAAAATGATCTACGTAGCATTCAGATTTGTTAGATATGCTTGCTTTTGAAACTCTGTTGTGCTGCTCATGGGACAGACCTAGGAAGACAAAGTGTCATTTAGAAAAAAATATTAATGATCTCTCATTAACGTTTGGCTTTATTTGTGGTCTGGGATCAGGTACTTTATGTATCTTGTTTATCATAGTCTGTCAAGAAATCACTGACTGTCAGTTCTTATATGTTTGGAATACTAACAAACACCAAGGCAAACAACATAAATTTAAATGCATTTTTTATCTATGACTCTGATTTTTTAAGTTAAAAATTTAGAAATATACAAAACACAAAGACTAAGAGATGGATAGCATGGGGATGAGTCCTCTTACTCTGTCAATCACCTTCAGCTGTAAGTGCCCCCCAAGCAAAACAAGTCAACTGGAAAAGACAAGTTTTAATTCCCTTCTGGAAGACCAAAAGGATAGGAACAGTTTGGGTGATAAAATATTCCACATGGACGGGTCCACAGTGTAAAGGCTCTTCTCCTTGACCCTGTCTGCTAGAATTCATTAGTAGATGTGATCTGTAGCAGGTCTCTTCCATTGGCATGAGTTAGTGGGCTAATTCCACTGGAAAAAGACAGCTCCTCAGATATCTTTGGTTTTAGCAACTACATACCACATTTCTGTCCTATCTAGATTATAAGTATCATTTTTCTTTTAGCAGTCTAAAGGAATTCTTTTTATTATTATTGTAAACTGTCTAGTGACTTTAGTAGTGTTACATCAGTAATCAGAGACAGCAGAAATAACATCAAATGTTGTTTCTTTTTATTAGGGTATGTTTCCATAAAAGGCATAGCCCCTTAAGCAAATGCTAGTTTCTAATACTAATGGTTTGTAAATTCAGAGAGGCAAAGTATGCTATTTAGGGTGGCTTTCGGACCTACTTTATAGAAAAGAATTCTCTTTGGAAGAATCATCAGAGGATGGAACTCTAGATACTATATCTTGTGCTTTAAAAAAAATTGAACCCATTTAAAACAGATCTATAACTGTTATTTGAAGGAAGAAGCATGCAATATCGCCATGTAGGGAAGTAGTTTATATATACAATACTCTGTTGTGATTTTAACATATTGTTTTCTCATGTCATCTTGACTTCTCTGTTTTGACTGGAGTGATTTACTTCCTTTTACTGTAGATTTATAAGCAGGTCAGAAGTTATAAGAAGTTACTTTGTAGAGGAAGAAATACTAGCACAGCTGAGTCTATAGCTGCCCTTCCTCATCTCTAATGTTTTCTAGATCTTTTTTTTTTTTTAACAAAGGACTGAAATAGAAGAATTGCTATTATCTTTGTTTAACAAACTGGACATTGGAAATCTGGCAAAACATTTCTCCTAGGGCTTTTCTACGCGAACTAAAAAAAACAACAACATTTGCCCTCAAGGATCTGGAAAAACATGAAATGATGCATTCCTATTTCAACTCTACTTTGTCTTAGAAGACAATAGCATACAACAGTGTGTCAAGAAAAGAATTTTCTTCTGAAAGATGGTCCTTGTGTTTGAATATATAGCAATAGCACATAGACTTATATACTGTTCCATAGTGCTTTATAGCACTCTCATCATATTTCCTCCAACAATCTGGGTCCTCACTTGGAAGGCTGAATCAAGCTGAGCTGGTCAGGATCAAACTCCTGATTGTGAGCAGAGTTAACCTGATAAAGGAGAATATTTGTAGCTCAGGGTTGACATGAGGGATCCTTGATGCTCTCTGAGCTTGCTTGTTTTCTTGCAGACGTTTCATTACCCAAACTAGGTGACATCATCACTAGCACAGATGAAACATCTGTAAGAAAACAAGCAAGCTCCAAGAGTTAACCTGCAATACTGCATTATAACCACTATGCCATTATGGTTCATATATGTGCTTCTTGATGCCTTAACTTTGTACATATAAATGTAACTGAACTTTGCAAATGTGTTTATGCGCATATATTTCTGCACATGTGTGTAATTTTCCCCCATAGGAAGATGTTTTCATGGAAAAGGGAAGTGGGAGGGCACAGCAGCAAGTCCAGTGGAGGAGGACATAGTCACATGTAGTCACAACTCCTGCCAAAGTGATTCAGCCAGGATTTTCTTATCTATGAGTAGAGGAGATGAGTAGATTAAGGGTTCAGTTTAGATGTGCACTAAGTCTGTCCAGAGTAGTTACTTTCCCTTCTTTCCCCTTTTTAAGTACAATCAAACAGTGATGGTAAATTGTTTTGCATTATCAAAGACAATGGGCAATTCTACTACTACTATTCAGTCTTACCTCTAAAATGAACTTCAAAAAAGATACCTTGAGTTTTCAGAATTTTCATAATGAGTTCCATAAAGTAGTCCTGACCTTTATTACTTAGTCCACCTTTTACTGTTCTGGCTCTTTCACGACATGAAGTTTACTGTATTTTATAGGTATTTATCTCACTTGCTCCTAAGTGCCTTATGACTATTTTTCATATTATTTATGCTCTATGCTTATTGTTTAAAATACAATAGGTTAGAATGTCTTCAGCTGGCAGAAGTGTTGGATTTTAAAAAGTTGTGATGACAGAGTCAGGAAAATTTGCTGAGTGGTACATAACCCACCCTGTTGTTTCTATGACATCACATAGCACAAAATGATGATAATACAGTTTTCAAAAAATGCAATTACTTTAAGTAACTGCTGGGCAAGGGAGAAGAGAATTAATCTTATTAGTTGCCACTTAACAACCAATATATTAATCAAAGCCATTATTCCTTAAGGACTGTTGTTTGCTGTCAGTTTATTTTTGTTTTTCATTTTGTTTTTATTTGAGATTTTTTTCTGCAATGTCAATGTACATGATTGCATTTACATATTGAAGTAGGAGAGTGGAATATTAAAAACTATTTAGTAGCGAAACAGACATAAAATGATTGATATTTAACAACTGTACTAAAGAATGGCACAATCCAGAGGCAGATTTTCAATAAAGCTAATAATGTTCAACTAATAACTACACTTCTACAATATACAAGCAGAAAATAATGAGTATATATCAATCTATATAACAGGGAATTTAGAATACAGTAATAGTTATCTTCCTGCCCTGTCTGGAAACTAAACAACGCAATAATGGGTCTCTATATATTATTTTAGCTTTGGGAGTTGTTACTTTTTCATGAATGGCTACTGTGAAGCCAGACATTCTGACACTGATATTGCAGAAATTTGTAGAGAAGATAATAAAGACACTGATATATAAACCCCTGGAAAACAATGTGATAATTATCAGAAAGCAGCATAGTTTTTATTACGAACAAATGTTGCCAGACTATCTCATTTTTTGATCAGGTAGCTTCCTGAATAGATGTAGCTTTAATATATTTTGACTTCAGCCAAATATTTGACAGAGTACCCTATGACATGCTGATTAGCTAGCTAGCTGAATGTGGCTTGGATGGCATGACAATTAAGTGGATATATAGCTGTCTTGAAGTTTAGGTTCAAAGAGTGCTCTTTAATAATCCTACATCAATCAATCAACCTTTATTACGGTCAAAGAGCAGCATAAATCTTATATCATATTGGAGAAAGATTGAGAGGGATGCCACAAGGCTAAGACCTAGGTATTTTATTCCTCAATATTTTAATTAATACTTTAATTATGAGTTGGTGATGCGCTAATTTTTTTTGGATTGCTAACAAAGAGTTAAAGGGAGACTGGGATAGCTATTTCGAGCTAATTAACTCTCATCAGCCAGCCATACCCTTCTGAGATTCGAACACACACACACACACACACACACACACACACACACACACACATGCTTAGATGACATCTTCCTTTATTATTATTGAACATTTTTCAAAAGAGAGGCCTTGTAGTTGTATTCAGGTACTGAGCTATGCTTACAGTACAATAATTAATTAAAAATGTGATCTTTGGTCTAATGGTCTTTGGGAAGATTTTCAATTTGAAATTAAAATTGAAACATGTTTATAATAAGCCAGTAAGGAATTTTTTATAAGCCTACAGTAAGTGCTCTCTGACCAAGTGGTCAGTTGGATTTTATCAGACTTACATTCCCCGTGTCTCTGTTAGGACGATAGGTAAACAACAACAACAACCACCTTTCAGCTGATTTTATTGCATGGTATATTACATCCACATTTTTTTTTAAAAAAAGGTTCAGTTGAAACTCAGACATTTTCCAAAGACCACATAGTAACTTTTTACTAGAATATTGTCCTCTCAGTGTATCTATATATGTGCCATACACTGTCTGCTGCTGTCAAATTTTAATTTGTTTCTTTTCTGAAGGACAAGCTTATATACCTCAAATTCTTAAGATAAAAAAGATTTGTGGTGTTGAATATGTTTATAAAATTATATCATATGCAAAGCTTGCAATACTTCATATCTTCTATGTGCTGTCCGAGTCCCTTGAGAAGCTAAACAGTGTAATCCGAGTAGGACTCTTAAGTCTTTGGCTAGAGTTGCATAATGTATTGAACCATAGATTAGGTAACCACATTGATTCTACAGTGTTATGTGAATCCAGTCAGTAAAATTAGCTTATGGTTTAGTGCATTGTGCAAGTCTCAGAAAGTAGGTAATTCCATAAATCACATATTTTGGTCTATTGTTCGGCATTCAAATTTGATATATTTCAATGTCTTCAGTTGAGATATTGCAGATAAATTGATGAGTAAGACTAGGTTTTCGAAGATAAATATTTTTCAGCCTCTGTTTTCAAAATTGTACTGTTTCTGTCAACTGAAAATAACTGTTCCTTTGTGACTTCTCAAAGTAGTATTTGGTGTCCAGAGAAAATAATGTGTGTCTACACCCATGTGGCTCAATGATAGGGAGGCTACCATACATTTCTGCAAGACACTGGTGTTATCAATTTGCAATGAATAGACTCTTGGCATATTCTTGAGAGACATTTTCACATTGGTTGCCAGGATAATTTAAAATTTAAAATTATTTAAAATTTAAATCACATAATGTAAATTACATTATTTAAAGTTGAAGTTCCATATGATCAAGGAATAGCAAAGAAAACTCTATTAGGTGAAGAAATAATAAATGTATTTCAGCCTTTTATTTTATATTGTCTTAAATTTATCAAGGAGAACTAATGCCAACATTTATACATTTGCCACTTACATAGAAAATAATAATATTGTCATAATTAATAATTTGGTGCACAAATGCCATGAGAAAATAATATATTTTCTCTTCTTAAGAAATATCTAAACAACTAAAATTGTTTCACTTTCTCTTTTATATTTATTTGGTGATTCAAAAAACAATTCCCTTGTATCACTTAATGTAACTAGATCTGTACATCTTTTGAAAATCTATGAATACTAAAACATTG